AAATACACAAACACCCCTTAATCCAACCAAAAAAAAAAAAAGAGAAGCAGTAGCTGGGATGAGCAGTTTTCTTTTTCTGGTTCATTTTGCCTGAAACTCCAACCAATTCTCGCTCGCACACAAACTGTAATATCTTAATCGTATGCTATTGGAGCTCCGGCTCCCTGAACGGAGCCCCAGCTCGCCGTGAATTTTCCTCATTCTCGCTTCCGTCATTAGATCTTCTCATTTCTGGTTTCTTTCCGTTTTAGATCGAGTTGAAAAGAGGAAATTTTGTCATGTCGAAACCCTGGGGAGGCATCGGCGCGTGGGCGGCCGAGGCCGAGCGGGAGGAGGCGGAGGAGAAAGAGGCTGCTGCGGCTGCAGGGATTGGGTCCAACGCTGATTCGCAGAGTTTCCCGAGCTTGAAGGAGGCTGTTAAGGAGAAATCGAAGAAGAAGAAAATGTCTCTCTCGGAGTTTAACATGGGTGCGTATTCTTCGCCGGCTGGTGGAATTGGTGGTGCTAGAGGGGCGGAATATAATAGATTGACTCCGGAGGAGATGATGAGTCTTCCGACCAGGCCAAAGGAACGTTCTGCTGAGGAAATGCAGTATGGTAGGTTAGGAGGCGGGTTTCCGTCGTATGGGCGATCGGGTCCGCCTCCAGGTCGTGCTATGCGTGACCGGGAAGAGAGTGATGGGTCTTGGGGCACTGGCAGAAGACAATATGGTGGTTTTGATGAGGAGCGCCGGGGTCCGCCCCCTAGAGCGTCGGAATACGATCAGCCTTCAAGGGCTGATGAAGTGGATAACTGGGCAATGGGTAAAAAATCGGCTCCTGCGTTTGATTCTGGGCGCCAAAATCGGTATGGTGGACTTGGGACAGGAGGTGGTGTGTCTAGAGCCGATGAGGTTGATAATTGGTTGGCAGTGAAAAAGCCAATTGCTGCTAGATCTTCGTCTTTTGGTTCGGGTTTTCGTGGTTCTGCTCCGGAGCCAGACCGATGGAGCAGAGGGGGTGGTGGGTTCCGGGAAGAAAGGTCTAGATTGGCCTTGGATCCACCGAGTGGTGAAGTGAACGAGCAGGTAGTGAGGACAAACAAACCGAATCCATTTGGTGCGGCCAGGCCCAGGGAGGAAGTGTTGGCGGAGAAGGGCTTGGATTGGAAGCAAGTGGACTCGGAGATTGAGGCGAAGAAGGCAAATGAGAGGCCGACTAGCTCACAGTCAAGTAGGCCGTCAAGCGCGCACTCTAGCAGGTCAGAGACACAGCAGCCCGTCATAGAGAATGTGGTGAGGACAAGACCAAAGGTGAATCCTTTTGGAGATGCTAAGCCTAGGGAGGTGTTGCTGCAAGAACGAGGTCAGGATTGGCGCAAAATTGATCTTGAATTGGAGCATCGCAGGGTTGACAGGTTTTTGTGGAATTCTCTACTTATTTATTTGATGCAATGCACACATTTCTGTTTCTTTGATGGCTTTACCACATTTTGGTATGAGATCTTAAGTGCATAGCAAGTTAGCTAGACTTGGAGTCGTATGTCACTCAATAACTGCTAGTACATTACATTTGTCTCCTTAGATTTTAATTAGTTTAAGACTTAAGAATTAAAGCAAAGTAGTTCACCACAGTAGGATGGGTCGTCCTTGAGAATGATAGATGTTATGGATCAAGTTGCTTTAACCTTGATAGTCATCATTTTGTGTTGTTTCGTTGTTTCTTAAATAAATTGACCTTTTAGGTGGATGCATGATGAATGGAGTGTGTCCTTCTTTTACAGATATATAAATTTGAATGTCATCTACAATGTGTTTTGTGAGAGCATAATCATGCTTTTGCCTTAAATGCAATTGACAGGTGAAATTGGCAGCTCGTGTTTTTTATAGTTTATTATTGGTTCATGTATTACTGAAAATATGGCACTGTCATAGAATGCTCTGGGTATTATGGTATGCTGGGAAACACAGGGTTACTTGTTTCTTTTTCACTCTAAGACATTTATTTGTTGAGAGACTTCTTGGAAGCTGTTTGCATGGTAAAACAATAAAAATGAGGAATTGATCAATTTGGCATGAAAAGCAACAAACTTGGAAACAATTGAATTACCTAAGTGGACAATACAGTGATTATTAAATAAACATTTTTCCAAGCGTGTTGTAAAGATCAATTGGCTTGATGTTGCAGTCTAGGCTTTTTTAATGAGCTTAAGCAGAATCCAAAACAGTTAGTCAAACATTAAGTGGGTCAAGTGTCTGTTTTATTCTACTGGGCATGTCTTTCCAATTTGCGTGCATTTCTGTCTTTTTGATGGCATTACCACACTTTGGTTTGAGATCTTAAATGCATAGCAAGTTAGCTAGATTTGGAGTTGTATGTCACTTCGTGGCTGTTAATACAAAGTCCTTGATTCTTTCCTTTCTCAATAACTGCTAGTACTTTGTACTTGTTTCTTTGGATTTTAATTGGTTCTAAGACTTCAGAATTAAAACAAAGTAGTTCAGCACAGTAGGATGGGTCATCCTTGAGAATGATAGATGTTATGGATCCAATTATGCTTGATAACAGGTTAAGTTTGATTTTGCCTATAATTTTCTAATGGGCTGAATAAGAAGGATCATTTAAGTGAATGAACTAAGCCAAGTTTAATTTTTGAGTGGCACCTCAATTCCTTTAACTTCTCTTTGAGATGATTTAATCAAAATAAATACATCTTCTTTGTTCCCTAGAGAACCCTTCTCAAAATCATAAAATTGTATGCTTGTCTTTTTGGCATATATGAGAAACCTCACTGTAATTTGATGAGTTTGTTACTTCCTGTTGCTTGTTTCATTTTCTGCGCAACTTGATTTCTTTTTGTGCACTGATTATTTGAGAATTAATCTCCAGTACCAACATCTTGCATTATTTATGGTATGAGTTTGCTATTCTTGTGGTGAAACTGTTCACTGTTTAACTTTGTTAGTGACTTCTCAATGCATTGGATCCCACTGTCCCAATTTCAGGCCTGAACAAGATGAGGAAAGGATATTGAAAGAGGAAATAGATAATTTAAGGAAGGAACTTGAGAAAGGATCTGCTGGAGACCAATCAAGTTTACATGATAGACTACTTCAAAAACAAAAGGATTTGGAAATGCTGATACGAGATTTTGATGATAAACTTAAATTTGGACAGAAAGTTGAAAGGCCTGGTTCTGGAGCTGGCAGGATTGGAGGCTTTCCTGATAGACCACCTTCTCAGGCTGGGTCAAGTGATGGGTCTAGAATTGTGGATTACGCTAATAGGCCTAGATCACGCGGCACTGGTGATGCTTGGACAAGGTCTGGTGATGACAGGAGACCATTTCAAGGTGGCAGGGAAAGAGGATTTCTTAACAGGGATATGGACAGGTAATGAATATGTGTTATCTATAATGTCCTCCAATGTTTCTCTGCCTCTTCTTTGTCTGGTCTTTACATTAAGGTTCTTTAAGCCATTTTCTGAGGTTTCCTGTAAACGCTTTTCTCCAAGCGGATTTCTTTTGTCCTTATTTTCTTAAGCTTTATCATCTGCATGCTGTTTATGTGTAAAATTGGCATTGTTTTGCATTTTTTGTTGTGTCTATGCACCTGATAGAAGTCTGAAGACAGAACTTCTCAAAATGCCTTTTTTTTTTTTTTTTCTCGAACAACATTCAAAATGCTAAATTTACATTGTTCTGTTGGGCAGGTCAAGATCAAGGGAGAGATGGTGAACAACATGGGGCATTGAATTTATTGAGTTCTTCTCCCACATTTGACTACGAGAACTAATAATGTTTTGTCTTCTAACTTTATAATCATTCTCTCATTCTTGCTCTTGGATTTGGACTTTTGGAGCAAAGGGTATTCAGTATCGGAATTCAGAACTCTGCATTAGTCTGTTGTTAAATCTTCAAACCGTGTAAAATTTCAATTTCATTTTGCTCTTTTATTATTGTTGTTATTATTTTTTTCCCTTATGTTTTGAAACAAGGAGCCTGTGTTGTTCTTTGTACTCATTTTTATTGTACAATGTAAAATTTCATTTTCACTTTGCTTTTGTCTTATTTTCCCCCCTTAAGTTGTCAATTTTTATTTTTTTAAGGATGCTACGACGAGCCTCAGTTAAAGATATTACTTCTGTTTTTTTATATTTTTTTTAATATATTGCAACTATTTACAAGTTACTTGGAGGATGGGGGAAAAAGTTTTGTGGGTTTGAACATGAAACCTACAGGAGGTGATCAGTCTTAATTCGTGGTTAGAACGTACAACTAACAGAAATTAAAGTCTTAATTTATGGTTTAATATCACTAGATCAGAGCATGTAGTTCTACTTTTGGTTTCATTTAGTTGTATTAATATATAAAAATATGTATAACTTTATAAAATAAATTTTAAAAACTGAATAAAATTTTTTCAACCAAACACATATATAAGAGGCATGAGAGTACAAAAATTTTATTTTGAGCTAACGAATAGAGGGGTTTTTTATTTATAGGGTATATGACATATTACCAATATATATATACATTAATTTAGAATGCTAAATAAATCAAAAATCTTGCAGACTAATGGATTCGAAAAGGATAAGTAAATGATTATAAAATTTTGATTTGATTTTTTGAGAAATGCACGCTTTAACCGTGCATTTCCAATTTTTAATTAAAATTTACAACAGTTTGTTCTTAAAATAAGCAGAGAATTGGTGTGCAGTTGTGTGAAACTAGTAGGGGACATCTTAATTCTTAAAATAAAATAGGAAAATGATTTAAATTAGTATATATCATTTAATGATTGGTTTTCATTTAATTAATATTTATAATATTGTATTACATTATTTATTTTATAAAATATAAAAATTATATAAAAATATTTTTTTATATCGTTACCTAATAAGATACTACTCATTTTGTTTAATTTTAATAAATTTAATTTTTTAATAAATTAAAATATAATAATTTATTAATAAAATTTTAACAAATAATTTAAAGATAATTTAATATATTATTTTTTAATACAACCTTATATTTTGTTTAAATAAGTTATTTTTTTATTTATTTAAAATCTTTAATATTAAATGCATATATTCATTTAATAATATAAAAAAATTATATAAAAAATTATCTATATGGCACTAGTATAAGATTTTATATTTATTTTAATTAGATACCATTTACCATTTAAATGAGAATTCTTACCTTATATTTGTTGTATTTATCTTTTAAAAGTAAAGATAAAATAAAAATAATTTTATAAAATAATATTTTAAAAAATAATTAATTAAATTTAAACCTTTCGAATTAAAAGTTAGGTAAGAGGGTGTAAAATAAAAACAAAGAGGGGAACAACAATCGTCCTTCTTTGTCCATAAATGGCTTAGCTTAGCTTCTATTCCTTTCTCCTTTGTACTTATCTAATCTTCTTACTCCTCTCCGTTTCATGGCTTCACTTCCGTCTCCACTGCTTCTCACCACCATTTCTGTACTCCTCTCGGTCATCCTCACTCGTTGCTCGGTGGCAGTAACCACCAGTCCGTGCGATTTCACTGCCATTTTCAACTTCGGCGACTCCAACTCCGACACCGGTGGCTTATCCGCCGCATTCGGCCAGGCGTCTTGGCCCCACGGGGAGTCTTTCTTCGGAGGCCCCGCTGGCCGATACTGCGACGGCCGCCTCATAGTTGATTTCATAGGTAATTTACTAAATTCTAACCTTTTTTTGTCAGTAATGATTTCCTTAAAATAATATCACTTTTTCATCTGGGCTTGTGGTTATCAACTAAAAACCAAAAAAAAAAAAAAAAAAATCCACCGACTTACAAGGAAAGAAGATCCTTGGGAGATCTTTGAAAATAATTAATATATGATAATATATTTTATTTTTAATAATTTTTATATTTATTTTATTTAAAAAAGTGATTATTCTTTTCTTTATGGTATTAGAATTGGTATATATATAGATTGAGATTTAGTTTTTGATTTTTTTTAATTTATTTTACATTAGAAGGTTGGCTGCTAGGTGTTATATGGGTTTAAACTTTGACATTAATCTTAAGTTAAAAATTTTAAATTAATTAACTCGACTACTAAACTCTTATAAGTGAGATTTAGTTTTTAATTAAATAAAATAACAACCTTTAAGATTAACATTTTAATATCATTTAAGAGTTAAAATTAATATATATATGTCTTTTATATATAATATATTTGTTTGTTTCTCTGTGTAGGATAGAAAAAGAATTTCTTTGGCCCGTCCTAAAATTTTAGTCAAGCTTCATCGTTGGACACTTAAAGCTCCGTTTGGCATAATTAGAAATTTCACTATTTGTTTTTTAAGTTAGTAGCTAGTAGATAGTTGTTATTTTATAAATAAAGTTTAAAATTCAAAGTGATGAAACTAAATTCCTTATTAATGTACCCCAGTAAACGATCTAATAATTGTGCGTCTTTTTAAGTGGCCTAATAGCTGTGCGTCTTTTTAAGGTCGGTGACTTGTTCACCTAATTTGAAAATCGAATCTCTAATTATTAACTTTAAGAATTCTAACCTATTAATCATTTTTCTTAAAAAAAAAAAAATTCCTTATGAATGTGCTAAGCCTTGGTGTAGGCTGCCAAAAAGCAAGAGATCCGTATAGCGTGTGGGGCAGAGAGGTTAAAGGATAGGAATGAATAGATTAAGACATGATGGATGATTTTTTGTTCTGTTTTAGAAGTAGTTAGGTTAATAGATTTGACGTATTATTATATAATTAAATTTTTTATTTAAAATTTATTAATAATATTATATATTTATTTAATATCTTATTATATTTTATTAAATATTATATAAAATTATAAATTTATAATTATATATATTATTATAATTATAATATTACTGTTTCCCTTATGCAAGCCAACATAAAAATTAAAAAATAAAAAAAAGGCCTTGGTGTAGGCATTTTAAGATGGTCGACCTAACATAATCCCCACCTTCAAACCCAAAAAAAGGCAAACTACAGTACCTTTTATTTATGGTTAATCTATTCAATGCATCCAAATATGTATATTTTATTTTTAAATTTTTAATATATGTATATTTTTAATCTCTAAAAAACTAAAAATACATATAAATAAATTTAATTGATTAACTAATGAAAGGATTTAAAAAATATATTTTTTAGGATTAAAGGACCAAAAAAGTGTAAAAGAAAGCCAAGGGACGAAATTTGTTTAGAATTGAAGGTTTAGGTACCAAATCTGGTATTTAACCCTTATTTATAAAGGTGGTCCCTTCTGCAAACGTGGAAATTGGAATTTAGCATAAAAAAATGTGGCCGTGGGAATGGGGCTGTTTGTCTGTTCTAAATTCAAATAATCATCAACCGAGAAAAGAAATTTACTTTGCTTTTTAATATAATTAGAATGTTCAGGATTAAATCATTGAACAAATTAAGATGGCAAAAAAAACAAAAAAACAAAAAAAAAACCCATTGCTCAAATTATTTATAATTAAAGTTGTAAGATGCCTCAAAATTTGGATTAGCAAGTATTCTTTTGTAGATTAAATTTAGGTTTAAATTTTGGCATCAACACTTGAGAAATTTCCTAGAATGCACAGTGAGGTATGCCTTTAAAGATTACCCATAGAAGAATTAGTCTTAAGCAACATAAAAGTTAACTAAAAACACCCAACCATAAATTAAGAAAAAAAAAGTAACATTATGTTTATGTTATGAGAAAAATATTTTATAGGTTGTCTTCTCAAAAAGAATTTAGTAAGAACTATCTAAAAAAATTTTTAATTAATATTTTAAAAAATCAATAATTAGATTGAAAGTTTTATTTATATTAATAATGTTGATTAATTTTCATATTAATTTATATAAATAAAATTTTTAACTTAATAATTAATTTTTAAAAATATTAATTTAAGGATGATTTTGAAGACAGGTGACGACTTGGATTAAACTAACCCTTATGTTGTTCTCTGCTAATTATCTTGAGTCTGAATTAATGTATCAGCGGAGGGTCTTGGATTACCGTATCTAAGTGCGTACCTTGATTCCGTGGGAAGCAATTTCACTCATGGAGCCAACTTTGCCACTGCCGGATCCACCATCAGACCTCAGAACACCACCCTTCGTCAGAGCGGTTTCAGCCCCATTTCCTTAGACGATCAGTGGGTCGAATTCAATGATTTCCATAGGAGATCACAAATTGTTCGTAGAAGAGGTAATAATGTGCCACATACTCACGTAACTTGTCTGTAACTGGAGAATCTTAATATATCTTAGATTGTATAAAATTTCAAATATCTGAGTTAATTTGATTCCAAGTTGAAAATTACTAGGTGGAGTTTTCAAGAAATTATTGCCAAAGAAAGAAGATTTTTCTCGCGCCTTGTACACCTTTGATATTGGTCAGAACGATCTCACAGCAGGTTACTTCTCCAACATGACCACTGATGAAGTCAGAGCATATGTTCCGGATTTGCTTAATCATTTCCAGAACATTGTTAAGGTTAATTAGCATCTTGAATTGGTTATCATGAATTCGATTCATGTCTTATTATCTCTATAACTTGGGCTGTTCTTACTGTTTTGAAACAGAATGTATACAGCCAAGGAGGCAGACGTTTTTGGATACACAATACAGGTCCTGTTGGATGCCTGCCATACGTCTTGGATCGCATTCCAGTCTCACCATCTCAGATTGATAAAGCTGGATGTGCCACTCCCTTCAATGAGGTAGCTCGGTACTTCAACCGCGGATTGAAGAAAGCTGTAAAACAATTGCGCAAAGATTTACCTCTAGCTGCTTTAACTTATGTTGATCTTTATTCGCTCAAATACACCCTTTTTAGTCAGGGAAGAAAGTATGGTAAGATGGTCTAACTGTGTTTCTGGAGGTTCTTCATTGCTTCGAGTAGAACTAAGAGGAAAATTGTATGGTAATTGTAGGGTTTCCACGACCATTGATAACATGCTGCGGTCATGGTGGGAAGTATAACTACAATATGCACATTGGGTGCGGAGCAAAGATTAAGCGTCATGGGAAGGAAGTGTTGGTGGGAAAGCCTTGTAAGGATCCATCTACTTCTGTTGTTTGGGATGGAGTACACCTTTCTCAAGCAGCTAACAAATGGATCTTTGATCGGATTGTTGATGGATCCTTTTCGGACCCTCCAGTTCCATTGAAAATGGCATGTTTTAGGAAGGAATTAGCATCGGATCAGCATTAGTTTCAAGAAAAATTTGCTGATTGTTAGATGCTATAGTGTGTGATTCTTCTTTCCCTTTTTCCACTGAGGGTTTGCTGTGATTGTCCAAACTGGTATTGGTTCTGATAAGATCGTTTCTTAATTTAAGATTTTTTTCTCTTAAAAATGTTGTACAGTTGAGATTATATAACTTAAATCATAATATTAAAAGGATTTATTTATTTTGTATCTTTAAAAATGTATTAAATGTATTATTTTATAATTAATTTATGTAAAAATAACAAAAATTAATTTTTATTTTAGTGTCAATATTATGTGAATAGTTTTAATTAATTAATTAAATAAATTTAAATTAATTTTTATATAAATTAATTTTAAAAAATATATTTATTTTATTTTTAATCTATATTTTAAAAATATAAAATAAAACAATCCACTTGAAAAACGTTCACACCATTAAGTTCGGATTGTAAAATAGAAATACTAAAAAAATGGAAGCAACAATCTCGATTATTTTTAGTGCCTATCCTTCGGCACTCTCTATATAAAAAATTGAAAGTCTTTTCCATCTTTTCCTATTTTCACTCATGGAACCTTACAGCTTTGAGAAGTTCATTTTTGGCATTTTAGTTTGGGTAGCATTGCTTACAAGTCCTTGCATTTCTTCAGCGCCTTGCAATTTCCCAGCAATCTTCAACTTCGGTGACTCGAACTCGGACACCGGCGCTATATCGGCGGTATTCAGTCCGGCCCCTCCTCCCAACGGCGAGACGTATTTCCAAGCTCCGGCAGGACGTTTTTCTGATGGTCGACTGATCATTGATTTCATAGGTATTTGGAGCCTTTCCCTTTCTCTTTAAGGAAGTTTCAGATCATAGTTCTATATCATCTGTGCCTGCAATCTTATGATGATTCTTATATGGTTAAGAAGTTTTGAATTTTAAAGAGATGATGAAAACTCTACCGTTCAGATGTTGATTAATTTGGTTCCTGTTCTGTTCAACCCTTTTTCAAAGATTTAAATTTTGAACTTGTGGGGTAGACTGTAGCCCGTTAGCATAAATCTAAGTTCTCAAGAATATTTTTAAAGAGTTTACTGTTTTAAAATAGTAATTATTGAATGGATGGGAAGGAAAGCTTTAATATTTAAAGTTGTTCTTTAATTAATAATTAAGATTATGTAGTTTGAGCGCACCTGGTCTTTCGGGTCAACTGACAACCTGTCTGCTTGAGGTACATTTCCCTTCCTGAAACCCGTCTCTTGACAACTTATTCAAAAAAAAAAAAATTATGTAGTTTGAGCACATGGTCCTATAAGTTTAAGGGCCTTAATCATCGAATATGAGCATTCTTCATTTTCCTGATTGAGTTGAAACTTGCACCATGTCAAAATGTTTAAAAAAAAAGATTATGTAGTTTAAAATAATTGATATTGAACAATATTTTTTAAAAATTTTAAATTATTTAAATTTTACATCAAAATTATCAATGTGGACTAAAAATTTCTTTTTTTATTTTATTATATCATTCAGTGTTTTGTAGTCTAAATAATAATTGTAAAATATTATTACTTAACAGAGTGGTTTGTGCCATTATCAGGGGTCTCCTTATTGTTTTACAATTTTAATTGTGGAAACCCTTTTTGTTATTATATATTAGTGTATATAAACTGCTATATAACTCTTTTATAAAAGTTATATCTAATTCACTTTTATAAAAGTTTTCCTTAAGTCAAAATTATACCTAATTTACTTTTATAAAAGTGATAGGTAATTCAGATAAACTTTAAGAGAAAAAGAAAAGATATATATATGAGTATTTGGATGAGTAATTTAAATTTAATAAATAGTGAATAATTAAAATTTGACTATCCCATGTGATTATTATCATGGGTTAGTGTTTATTTATATACAATTTATATCTATATATATCACTTATATTAAATCTTAAATTTTTATATATTTATTTTTTATGTTATTTTAAAAGGTAATTATCTTTCTTATTTAAAAAATTATCATAAATTTTAATTA